AGTCCTTTCACAGGAACTCATGAGGGGTGGGGCCCAGGCAAACTACCTCAGTTACTCCTGAGGGTACAGGCAGAGCCCTCTATGACTCTTTCATTTCCTTCTACTGCAGTGCCTAACACGCTGGGGACGAAGTAGCCCAGCACATGGACAAACCGCATCTGAACCATGGCTGTCATCAAACACACGGGTGCTGATTATAACTCTTATTTTGGGCAAATCACTGAATTGCTGGTGTCTCTGTTTCCTCATCTCAGTAACAGGGAGCATCATGGAGTCTTCTTGTTAGGGTGTTTGCGATGCGAGGAGATGGGACGTTTGCCCCAGTTTCTGCAACAGAGCAGCGCTGACTCATCCTGGTTGCTGCACTTATAATTCCATATCATTGTACAAGTAACCGGACAGGCAGCAAGGACCCTAGACCGCCTCACGCTGCCCTGGCTCCTGCACAGGACCACTTATCCCAGGGCTATTCCCGGGCTGGGCTGGAGGAATTTGGAGAAACTCTGTTCTCTGTATTTTTTCTTAATGGTACCACAGCGTGTGTGCTACACGTTCTATCCAGTCCTAGCCTGAGGAAACCAGCAGATAATGGAAAAACTGACATGCAATGAGTGTGTGGGCATTCCATACACTCCTCAGGACCCCCTCCAGGAGGGATGCCCCTCGCTCTCTCCCCTTCTGCCATTAGCCGTAGGTCATAAAGGCTGACTGGAGACTGTGCTCTCCCAGCCTTTCATTCCAAGGTCCAGCCTGAAGCAGGCAGTGGTTCTCCTATCTACTGCCATCTTTCCTTCTTGTCTTCTCTTTCCAAAGCTCCCACCGGCACCGTGACAGCCCTTTCCTGACCAGGATACTCATTTTGAGTTGCTGCCTCCTCGGAGAGAGGGGTGCTTCTGTGCCTCCCTGAGGACATCAGCCGCTTTCACTTCTCTCAGAAGCCTGATGTAGGCCTAGCCCTGGCCCTAAATTGGCAGAACTGAAAACAGAACCTGGAGAGAGAGCTCAGCTATTTGGGCAGTGGGGGTGTGGAAGATGCTGAAGCAGGCAGAGAATGGGCCCTGGGCTATCGGGTGGGGATATGGGGATTAGGACAAAGGAATCTACATCCAGGACTGTCTCCGGAAGTGCACTCAGTGATGTGCAATTGTTTGGGTGCCGCAGTCACTAACACTCTCTAAACCTTCGTGGGGACTGCCTGCTGGAGACCCTGTAATATCAGATGTACTTTTGGCTCAGCTAATGGTCATTTAAACAAGGCATAATTGAAACAAGGTTAAGAATACTTAAACAAAACAGCACAATCATTTCTCTCTCTCGAAATATATTTATCAAATATACTGAACACTACTACTGCCCTTATGATAGTCAGTACAGTGGTTATCACAACCTGTGGGTCACGACTCCTTTGGGGTCCAATGACCCTTTCATAGGGGTGCTACATCAGATATCCTGCATATTAGATATTTACATTATGATTCATAACAGTAGCAAAACTACAGTTATGAAATAGCAACAAAAATTTTATGGTTGGTGGGGTCACCATGGCATGAGGAACTGTATGAAAGGGTCACAGCATTAGGAAGTATGAGAACCCCAGAATTAGTGTATACCGAGAAGAGTACATCTGCTTTCCCGGGAACCCGGAATTCCCACAAGCACAGAACTGCCTCTTACGGTCTGGTGTCCCTTAATCTTTGGACTTCTCAGCTTCCTGGTTGTGGGTGTTGTGCTCTGACCACGCTGGAAGACTGATGGAGTCTCGCCTACCTCCCACTTCTTCCCTACCAGATGTCGGTGTCAGAGGTAAAGGTGGTCACTGAAGAGAAGTTTGGGGAACTCCTTGCAGCTGTGAGGAAGGCCCAGGCTGATGTCATGCTGTTCTTAGAAGAGAAGGAACAGGCTGCATTGAATCAGGTCAACGGCATCAAGACCCACCTGGAGTACAGGAGCATCGAGATGGAGAAAAGCAAGCAGGAGCTGGAGAGGCTGGCCGCCATCAGCAACACTGTGCTCTTCCTGGAGGTACGGAGGCTGGGGGCAGGGCAGGAACCCTCCATGCATCTGGCCTGAGACACACCCGTGAACGGGACTGTCGTTTCACACAGGGAACTGTAAAAGCAGGAGAGTCAGGGCTTGATTCATCCGGAAGCGGTAATCCAGGAGGGACAGAGAGAACCGCGCAGAGTGGGGACGATCCTGGAAGGGGACTCTCGCTCTAGGTTCTGTATGCGGCGCCAGATAAGAGACCACCATGTGCAAAGACGGGACTGTGAGAGACCATGACTGGCTCAAGGAGCCAAGGCGCTTTGACAAGCCATCTTGCAGGATAATGCTACACATTGTTTTAGATCTGTCACTAGATACCACTGTGAAGCATTTTTAAAAAGCCACCGAAACTCTCAAGGGTGTCATATTCCTCACTTACCAAACCGACAGGTCGGAGTAAAGAATCTGCAACTTTTCTTTCAGTTTTACGATTTCAAATACAAACAATTTCTTGCTTTTGCTTTTTAAACAATTCCTTTTTGTTTGCAGAAAACCAAATACAGTGAAAACCAGAAATATATGAAAGAAAAAACAAACAAACAAACAAAACCAAATGTGGATAGTCTCTCTCTTTCTCTGCTTTGTTTTGCTTTGCAATTCCAAACACAAAGAAAACATGGAGATTCTTTGGGTTGACAAGGACTGAGGGTTGGCTCGGGAATCTTTAGATGCAGCAGCAGTAGCCAGTTCTTCTATCCTTACCACAACCTGTACTTAAGCTATGGAAAGAGAAAGAATCAGAAATAACCGTGGTAAGACTGTTCTTACTCTCTGGTCCTCAGTCTGATTTATATATGAGAGCTGTCTGTGATCATACATCTTTTGACAATAAGAAACCCACTTTCCAGACGGGAATTGGTGGTGCAGACCTTTAATCCCAATGCTTGCACTTGGGAGGCAGAAGTGGATGGATCTCTGCGAGTTTGAGGCCAGCCTGGTCTACAGAGTGAGTGCTAGGACAGGCTTCAAAGGTACACAGAGAAATCCTATTTCGGAAAAAAAAAAAGAAAAGAAAAGAAAAGAAAGAAAGAAAGAAAGGGAAAAGAAAGAAAGAAAGAAACCCATTTCCCCACTTGATTTTAAGAAGACTCACTTCCTCTGTGGGCCCAGAAGCATAGAAAACACTTTATAAGAACTTTCTCTGTGAAGCACGTGTTGCCATCAGCCCATTTCACAGATGCAGGAAGAGATAAGCTGAGAAGAGCTGCCCGACTCTGTTTCCCTTTCTGCAGGAGTACTGCAAGTTTAAGAAGACTGAAGAGGCTGCCTCCCCCAGCATTTACATAGGGCTGAAGGATAAACTCTCAGGCATCCGCAAGGTCATCACAGACTCAACTCTGCACTTAATCCAGCTGCTGGAGAGCTATAAGGAGAAGCTCCAGGAGTCTGCCAGGGAAGGTGAGGAACTACGAGGGAATCTGGGAAGGGAGGGAGAAAGAAGCATTTCAAAGCCGTTCCTCGGCTAGGCCATTGGTGACTCTTCTCTCGGCTTTGTAATTGCAACCTGAAGGAAGTAAATCTGTTATATTGCATCAGCATTTCTGTGACTGGCTTCTCAGGCTGCTGGTGTCTGGGTTTTGAGTGGCTTCTGTGTCAGCCTGGGGTCTTCTCCAGTAGGGTTTGTCTGGTACGTGGAGTGTGCCCAGGTTCCCAGGCACCAGACCCTCCAGAAGCCTGGGGGAGGGCAGCCTGTTTCTTGGGTTCTCCCAGCTACCTGGACAGGTGCTAGTAACAATTCTCTGATTTTCTAGAGGAATATGACATCAAAACTCAAGTGTCTGCCATTGTCCAGTGCAAGTATAGGACCTCAAAACCTGAGCCCAGAACCCGGGATGAGTTTCTCCAATGTAAGTTGTGAAAGGTATCCCCTTCCGCATGCTGATGGCAGTGTATTGCTTTTCCAAAGCAAGAACCACCGTATCTTAAAGAGGATTTAGGTTCTTATAACCTCTCATCTATACCTAAATGATATAAAGTTTCTAACTAAAAAATTTCTTCCTAAAATAAATTAAGAAACACAAAAAATGAATAAAAATTTCTCTATACATACCTATCACTCAGTTTCTCTAAAATGTTGATGTCGTACATAACTGTGATACATCGTGCAAGAAATTAGCTTTGTTGCAATATTATTAACAACTTTGCAGATTTTTTTTTTCTGGCTGTTCTAGTTACTTTTCTATTGCTGTGATACAACGTCATAACCAAGGCTGTTTACAAAATATAAAATAAAGTGTTTATTGGGGGTTGACAGTTTTAGAGGGTTAGAGTCCACGACCATTATGGCAGGGAGCATGGTAGCAGGCAGGCATGGTGCTGAAGCAGTAGCTGAGAGTTTACACATTGAAAGACAACCTAGAGGCAGAGAGAAAGAGACACTAGGAATAACGTGGACTTTTGAGAGCCCAAAGCCCATCCCCAGTGACACAGCTCCTGCATCAAGCTCACACCCCCTAATCCTTCCCAGACAGTTCCACTCACTGGAAACCAAGTATTCAAATAAAGGAGCCTGTGGGGGGCCATTCTCATTCAAACCACCACATTGGTCCAAAGTTGAACTCAGGAACACAGATGTGTGTTCTGGTTTCCTTTCTGTTGCTCTGACAACAGTCTGAACAAAAGTAACTTAGGGGAGAAAAGGGTTTATCTCATCCTACATTTCTGGGACACAGTCTCTCATTACGGAAAGTCAGGACAGAAGTTCAAGGCAGGCACTTGAAGCAGAAACCACGGGGGATGCTGCTTGACGGCTGGTTTAATCACAGCCTTATGTTTATTTAACCAAGGGCTGATGACACCCACAGTGGGCTGGGCCTTCCTGGATCAATTAATAATCAATACAACCTCCCCAGACTTGCATACAGACGAATCTGATTGAGACAATTCTATTGGTGCTTTTGTCTTAGGTGACTCTAGGCTGTGTCAAATTGACAAAGCTAACCAGGACCCATGTTCTCATGTTTTCTTAATCCTCTCCAATTCATATCAGTCCCTCAGACTTCTTTGCATTTCATGGCTTGATATTTTGAAATGTCCTGTCCACTTACCACATGGATTATTTTTAAGTCTGCCTTGACAAAAATCTTGTTATTATTACATTGATGCGGTCTGGCAGCATTTTGGGTTTTTTTTTGACATAGGGTCTCCACATGTATGTAGCCCAGGCTGGCTTTACACTTATGGTCCTTTTGTCTCTGCTTCCCAAGTGCTGCGATTAGAGATATGCGCCCATACCCAACAGTTACCATTTTCAAAAGCACTGTATTTCTAGCCAGACATTGTAGAACATGTCTATAACCTTGGCAACCTCTAAGCATAGCACTCATAAGGCCAAGGTATGGGAATGGAGTGCTCAAGGCCAGCCTAGGTTACTTGGTGAGATTCTATGTTAAGTGACCAACCAGTCAGCCAGCAGTCACTCAGCCACCCACTCAACCAGCCAGCCAACCAACCAACCAAATGAATGAACGAATGAACAAAGTACAAATAAAAGCAAAATCAGAGCTGGAAAGATAGTTCAGTGGTTAAGGATACTTGCTGCTCTTGCAGAGGATCCAAGTTCAATTCCTAGAACCCACATGGCAGCTCACAATTATCCAATTCCAGTTTCAGGGGATCTAACATCCTCTTCTGGATTCTGAGGGCACCAGGCATGCATGTGGTGCACAGACATACATGCAGGCAAACATTCACACACAACAAATAAAAGTACCCCATGCCTAAGCTATAGTTTGTGATAGAACATGTTTAAGAGGCCTATCATACATACAATACATGCTGTAGACTTGCAAAAAGGAAGCATCCCCACCACCCATATACAAAAGCAATGCCTATGATATATATGTGATGTTACATACATACACATGGCAGGATTTAGCCATCCTATGGTGAAAACATTTTTCCAAATACCATGTGGTATATAAAAAATGCAAGCAAATGTCTATAAGTCAGGCGGAACTTAAAGTGATGTGGTAGTCGACAGGTCATCATTTCACCTCCCAGCAGAAGGAACTTCACTGCAGTCAGTTGATTTTTGTGGCATCCTTCTGGAACATGCAGCTGATGCCTGCTATGTGGTTTTGGGGAGCAACCACTGTCTCCCCATTTTTGGGGGGCTTTTTTTTAGTCCTGCCCAGAAGTCCATAGCTATGTCTCGCTCTTGTTGCAACCTCGAATGTTTTGGACTCCTCCCACTTTATTCTCTCCTGTTTCCCGTCCAGAACACATATATATTTTAGAGACAAGCATAATATTGTACACTAAAATGCCATTTGGTCATAAAATGAAAAGTTAAGTATATACTAGCATTATTTGTCTTTCTTTACAAGTGTTCTTACATGTGTTAAACTTTTTTGAATATTATTTTAGGAAATAAAACAGGGTATCTTTTGAAATACTATTTTTTTATTTTTGTTGTTTTTGTTTTGTTTTGTATTATTCAAAACAGGGTTTCTCTGTGTAGCTTTGGAGTCTGTACTGAAACTTGCTCTGTAGACCAGGCTCATATTATTCTTACTGTGGACAATAAACAAACAACTTATTACACTATACCAGGCAACAGTTACCTATGGCTTAGATGCAGGCGAAGCAAGAGGCTTGCTTAAAAGGAGTGACTGGAGCCTACAGGACCGCCTGCTGTCTGTATCGTAGGAGGGACGAGGGCAAAAGAGGGCAAAAGAAACACGAGAAATGATTTTGTGTTTGACTTGAGTAGATGTGCATGGAGGTGCTGTTATTATTTTGGGGGCTGAATGCACTTGACGGCATGTCTAAGACCATGTTCAATGCTAGTCAAATGCTTAACAAATGAATGAGTGGATCACATGTAGGTATATGAGGATCTGAATCCCTGAACTCACTCCAGACCCATACAATAGTGCCTGATTTCCTGTAAACAGTCTATGAATGGATGAATGAGTTAACTTCTTTATTCAGTTCAGATATTACAGCAAGTGCCAATCAATTTGGCCTTAGAAAAGAGTGTGTTCTCTCCGCTGGTTTTCACCTACCCCTTGTGCTAGGGGAGCATGGGCTGGGTAAACAGAACCAAAAGATGGGTATATTCTCACGACTGCCTTAGGGACCAGCTGGGTTTAAAGCTGTCTTCTATGTTTCCTCAGATGCATGCGACATCACATTTGACCCAGACACAGCGCACAGGTACCTTCGCCTGCAGGAGGACAACCGCAAGGTCACCAACACCACGCCCTGGGAGCACCCCTACCCGGACCTCCCCAGCAGGTTCTTGCATTGGCGGCAGGTGCTGTCCCAGCAGAGCCTGTACCTGCACAGGTATTACTTTGAGGTGGAGATCTCTGGAGGCGGCACCTACGTGGGCTTGACTTGCAAAGGCATTGACCGTAAAGGGGAGGAGCGAAACAGCTGCATTTCCGGAAACAACTTCTCCTGGAGCGTTCACTGGAACGGCAAGGAGTTCACAGCCTGGCACAGCGACACAGAGACCCCACTCAAGGCTGGCCCTTTCCGGAGGCTCGGGATCTACGTCAGCTTCGCAGGAGGAACCCTTTCCTTCTACGGCGTGGAGTATGATACCATGACTCTGATCCACAAGTTTGACTGCAAGTTCTCAGAGCCAGTCTACGCTGCCTTCTGGCTGTCTAAGAAGGAAAACGCCATCCGGATTGTGGATCTGGGAGAGGAGCTCGAGAAGCCTGCTCAGTCCTCAGTGGAGGCTGCTCCCTAGATTCTAGGATCCGCCTCCCAGACTTTGCTAACCTCGACGACTGGCCGCAGCTGGTGTTTTAAGGTGGTAGCTGGCTCTGGGAACTGTGTGGGTCCTGAAGGAACGAACTTAACTGCCTGCTTCTCATTACAGTTCATGTACAAATGCAGAAAGTCTGAGGCACTAAAGCCTCCCCTGAAATCTTCTAGTGATGGGTCTGCTCAGGTCGTTGTCACCCTTTACCCAGAATTTATGACCAGGGCTCTTCAAAGCATAACAAGACTGCACAGGAATCATAATAAATCACAAACACATCGTTGTGCATTTCTTACGGACTTGACGGTGTCTGGAGTGTTTTCTCTGTGTTGGTTCATGTCATCTTCATGGCGCAAATTGTAGCCTGAGGGCTGGCTTGTTGGGGTTTCTGTCCCTCCCAGTACCCCAACAGCCGACAAGCAACAAAGAAAATCACACACAAGACTCCATAAGGTTATAAACTGATTGGCCCATTAGGTCAGGCTTCTTGTTAACTCTTATAACTTATATTAACCCATTATTCTCATCTATGTTAGCCATAATGGCTCCGTACCTTTCTCAGCTGGGCAAGTTACATGCTGCCTCTTCGGTGGTCTGCGCAGGAGTGCTGAGGGAGCTCTGCTTCCAGAATACTCCCAGTCTCTTTGCTCCACCCCTACTTCCTGTCTGGCTTTCCCGCCTATACTGCCTGCCTGGCCAATCAGCGTTTTATTAAAATGATTGACAGAATACAGACAATTCTCCCGCATCAGCAAATGTTTACATTGTCCTCATGCTAGGTAGTAAGAGACAGTGCTAGGACAGTTAGCTTGCTTGTTCATGGTCAGTCTGACCACTCAGTAAATGAGGCTTAGAGCTGGGATTCAAGTCTGGGCGGGATGTTGTTGAACTTGGGACCATGTGTTATGCTTACCTCATTAGATCATTGTGGTGGTTTGAAAGAAAATGGCCCCCAAAGGAAGTGGCACTGTTAGGAAGTAGTATGTGTGACCTTGTTGGAGGAGGTGTGTTACCGTGGGAGTGGACTTTGAGGTGTCTTTTCCTCAAGTTTCCTTCAGTGTGACAGTCAATTAACTTCCTGTTGCCTGCAAGGCATAGCCATGCTTTCCATCATGATCATAATGGACTGAACCTCCGAACTGTAAGCGATCCCCCACAAGTGATTTTCTTATAAGAGTTGCCGTGGTCATGGCGTCTCTTCACAGCAACAGAAACCCATAACTAAGATAGTCATGAACGTTATGGATAAGTGCTAAAACCACATGCTAAACTGCACAGCCAACAAGCAGTGTCTTCGCATCGTTCTTAGAGTTTGCTCATCTTTTTGCATGTGCCAGGCTCAGCCTGGCCATCCAGCCTTCTACCATCCGAGCCCTCAGCTCTCACACGCAGCAACCCGTTATGGTTTTGAACAGCAAGGTTTAGAATAAATGTTTTAGTGAGGTCCTTTAGGAAGGAGTCTTTGTCCTCTCCTCTAAAGTTACTCAGACTTCATGGACTTGTCTAGTTTTCTTGTGCAAAGGACTAGTTCTTCAGGAGTTTGGGGACAGTGCTCACCTCGCTTAGGAGGCATTCCATGTTTGTGGTAAGGTGATACCTCCTGCCATGGTTCCCGTGTCTCCCCAACACTCTGTTGACCCCTCCATTCTCCTTCAGACAGATGACAAACATCCACCAAGCCTTCAGGCACACCATCTTAAAGCAGATTTCTATAGACCTGAAGTCCCAGGTGGGATTTACCAGAAATATTATTTCCGTGTCTTTTCCCATGACCCGTGTCAAGGCAAAAATCTCTTCCTGTTCAACCAGTCTTGTGATCCTGTCTCAAGAGTGCTTTGCTTTAGAATTAGACTCTGCACCTTGGTCTCTAAGGACGTGGGCAGTGTGGCATTTCAGGGCTTTCGCTTCCATCCTCACCTCTGCCATGTGGAGACACTTTCACGATCGGTCATCTAGCATAGTACCCTCCCTAACAAGTAGATTTCTGGCAGATTCCACCGTCTTCTCTCAAGTTTGAACCTTGTTGGTAGATACACTGATTATGAGGGGGCCTAATCCAGAATGTTGCAGATTTGCTTAACTCCTGGGTTGAGTTACACACCAGTTACTCGGGGGTGCAGCGTCAGGGTCCACTGTTTTCTTCTTGTCCACTGGACACAATGAAACACTTCTTTCCTTTTTACTTGAGATCGGGCCTTGCTATGTAGTCTCAGCTGACCTGGGATGCACTACCTATTCTCAGCTGACCCGGGATGATCCTCAGCTGGCCTGGGATGATCCTCAGCTGGCCTGCGATGATCCTCAGCTGACCTGGGATGATCCTCGGCTGGCCTTAGACCCACAGTTTTCTTTACTCACTTTCAAGTGCTGGGGTGTAAGCATGAGTTACCAGTGTGATGCTCAGCTCAGTGAAGGACCTTCCCAGGAGCAAAATCCAATGTCTGAATTTCTTGGATATAGCTGTTAAAGGATACTCTTTGAAAGGGAAAATCATATCATCTTGGCCTGCCCCTTCCTTTTTTAAGATTAAATTTCTTTGTCTTTAATTTTAGTTTTAATTGACACACAATGAGTGTGTGTGCTTATGGAATTCAGTGTGGTGCTTCAATACATGTACATAATGTATAATAACCAAATAAGAACAACTAACATGTCTATCACCCCAAATATTTATTCATTTGTTGTGAGAACAAATCCTGTTTTCCTATTGTTTTGAAATAAGCCTGCTCTGTATTATTATTATTATTGCGAGTAGTTGCCATTTTAATTACTATAGACTATCCGATAAATCATTTTAGGACTCTGCTTTAGATTAATGCAACATCTGTGAGACTGTTGTTTCCAGGATATTTTTTTGAGAGAGAGGACTCATAAATGCCGAGATTACAGGTGTGTGCCACTGTGTCTGGTTTACTTGGCGTTAGGAATGGAACCCGAGGTTTCATGCATTCTGTGCAAAGCACTCTACCAACTGAACAACATCTCCAGTACTTAAAAAAAAATGCATTTATTTATTGACTGTGTGTGTGTGAGAGAGAGAGAAAGAGAGAACCACGGCACGCATGTAGAGGTCAGAAGACAACTAGTAAGTCATTTCTGACTTGAACTTATGATGTTTTTTCACCTCAGTATTACCACAAAGCCAGGGATTTTGTGTACCACCAAACGTGATTGTTTTTAAGAAAAAAAATCAACAGTGCTCTCATCTCCACCCTTCCCTCCAGTTTCTCAAAGATTCAGAGTCCTGAAATGGAATTTGATTAGGCCAAAATATCCAAGCTCATACAAAAAGAGCCATTTAGCTATTTCTTTACCTGGCTTGAACTTCTGCTTTTCTTACAGCCTTTGCCCAGTAGTTTTCAGGTTTAAGATTCCCTTTGATGTAATATATCAAAGCAGAATGAAAGAGTCTCACATATTTGCTTGCTTCCTGTCCCTCGCCTCAAGTGATAGACATATCACTTTCCGTTTTCTTCGAAAACTAAAAATTAACTATAGCACACAAATAAAAACTAAGGAAAGGAAAGAAGAGAGAGTGGGCAAAAGACTACTTTTCTATTTCTAACAAGCGGTGGACTTTCCCCAAGCTTGTGTGTGTGGTGGGGGTATGTTACAAGTATACAGAAGTAGGACAACCCGGGGAATCGGTTCTCTCCTCCTACCATGCTGGCTCCAGAACAGAACTCAGGTTACCAGGGCTCTCAGCAAGGGCTTTAACTTACTGAACCATCGCCAGCCCTGACTGATCCTTAGCCTTTTGAAAGCAAAGTCCATTTTCCAGGAATCTTATGAATTCCGAGTCAGTCTCGCAGGATTGGTGACATCAGTCGTGATGAGACACCAGGGTTCTGATCTCTCGGTCTCAGTCAGGTTTGTGTTGCTATATCAGAACATGAAAGACTGAGCAAATCGTAGAGAAAACCAGTGTGTCATTCACACCGCTGGGAGGTAGTAGATACGAAGTCAGGGGCTTTGCCTCTCATCTGCATCATCTCCGAGTGGAAGGGAAGGGCAAGGAGGCCAACCTTGCAGCCTTGAACTCTTTAAAGTTAGCATTAATGTACCCATGACAATGGAGTCCTCATGACCCAAACATGTCCCATCAGGCCCCACCACCCCACCTCATTTCATGGGGCATCAAGTTTTCAACACGTGTCTCTAGAGTCACATTCAAGCCACGGTACTTTTCAACTTGCTTCAACATATTTTGGCAAGGAATGCCTGCAAGTCAGGCCTATTCAAAGTGTGGCCTTTACAGTGTATGGTCTGAGACTAACCTAGAAGAAAGCAAGCCTTGTCTTTTGATCACAAGATACTGATTTAAACTGAAGTGAAATCCGTTCATAAGAGAAGAGAGAAACAGGAATCGATTCTTTAAGATGATAACAGAATACTTATGGCTGCATCTGAATTCACTGCTTCTAATTCAACATCTTTTCTTGGCTTCTTCGGTGGCTGAGTTCTGTAATGTGTTGGCTACTAATCTCCCTGGTTGTTGGCCGTCCTATAGTGAACGGCGTCAGAGCCTCCACTACATTAGCCTGGAGACTGGAGAAAGGAGGTGTGTGGGTTTCCTCCTTTAGAAAGATCCCTTCTGGTTTAGTACTAATGCCCAACTTCCCATCTGTATCACTCATGTATCCGGGTGTCAGGGCAGGTGACCCTTGCAGGGCCGGTCATTGTGCCACATGCACCCAAAACCCATATGCACAGCACAGATTGCATATAGCACAAATTCTAATTGTTCTTAATAATAATAAAAAGAAAACTCAGAGTCAGATATTAGGCAGGGAAAGATGAGAGATCAGAGAAACAGTGCAGCCAGCCACTAGAGAGACCTTTTACCTCTACCAATTCTCAGACCAAAGGGGCAATCCTGTCCTCAAATGGCCTCCTCAGACGGTGTCCTCAGACTGACTGCACAGACTGCACCCTCAGACTGCATCTGAGTTCCTGTCTCCTCCGGCCTTTTATTCCTCTCTCTGCCCAGCCATATCACTCCTGTCTCCACCTCTCTAGTGCGGGGATTAAAGGTGTGAGCCATAACCCTTTGGCCTCTAGTGACTTAGCTCTGCACTCTGATCTTCAGGCAAGCTTATTTGCTAAAACACAAACAAAGCATCACTACAACTGTATAACTTGCAGAGCATGAGCCACTTAGTTTGTGAGAACATGCTTACTTTTTACCTTTAGCTTTGATTTTCTTGGAAATTGTATTCAGGAAATCCCATTGTCTTCCAGGAAGACCAGATACCAGAAAAGATGAGTGACATTAGACCATTTATAAAATACTGAGGAC